CCCCAAAACCCCAAAACCCCAAAACCCCGAAACATCTTATATTTCCATATTTTTGACAATATATTTATATATTTTTCCAAAATGGACTTATTACAACACAAGCAATATCAAAATCTCTATTTCGCTAGATTAGCTTAAGCATGCGATAGGCATCTAGAATCTCTTTGATTAATACAATTGCATTTTCTCTAAGGCTATGAACAGCAAAAGACTCCTGTTTATTAAACAAAGACTGCTAGTAAACTACCAAAATTTGAAATGGAGGAGATTGAATTATTTATCACGATCTCGAAGAATTACATCAGTTAGGAAAGAAAGACTCTAAGGAAGCTGTCTATTGTTGAAACTAAATTAGAGAGGAAAAAGGGGACTGAAGAAGAGTTCAAGTACAATATGACTGTAGAGTACTTCAAAAAGGTGGAAGCAAATCTAAGAGAATGGCTTAATACAATTTTGATCTAGGTTGATGCGCTGCTTCTACCTATGATTAATCATAAAATACAATCCCTTCAAGACGATTTCAATAGGCAAAAATAGCAAGATGATAATGTGAATAATAACTAGACAACATTTGGCAGCCATACCTAAAACACTCAAGGCAATACACAGTCTGCTGGCGTCTTACACACATTAGGAGAATAGTAAGAGGAAGAGAATCCAATGTCTTTATTTGCTATGAAGTAAATCGAAGAATCGTTTGCTGTTGAGAAAATAACATGTTTGAGATTTAAAGGTGATTTATATAGATATACTTCCGATATTAATACTGGATTTGAGTAGAAATTAGCTTCTGAATATGCTCTTAAAAGTTATTAGGAAGCAGCTGCTGAGAGCTGTAAGATTAGTCAGGCACATCCGATAACACTTAAGTTAGCCTTAAGTCATTCAATGTATTATTACGAAGTTTTGAATTCAGTTGAATTTGCAATGAAAATTATAGGAGAGACGATAGCTGATGCCAAAGATGAGTACTTCAACTTTAAAAGAAAGGCAAATGATGCTGAATTAAGAGCATATAATGATAGCATGAAAACACTTGATCATAACTTGTAAAAATGGAAGGAAGAACTATTAGAAAATGCCAAAGAATATACTAATTAAAATTAATGATTAATTCGCCATTCACTGGATTATTATAAGTAGACTACTTATGGGGTTTTGGG